TGCTTTTCTGGTGTTTGGCTATTTTATAAGAAAGATACAGTCCTTACAGACTGAATCTACAATGCTGATGGCAGAGATTAAAACCTTAAGAACAATTCAGACTGATACCAACCTCCTCAAAAAAGAGTTTGGAGATTTCAAGGAAGAAACTAGATCAGAGTTTGGAGATTTCAAGGAGGAGACTAGATCAGAGTTTGGAGTTCTCAAGGAGGAGACTAGATCTTTGTTTGATATGACTCGGTCGACTGACCAAAATATCAAGAAGGTACAGTCTGATATTGCTTCTTTAGAAGGGAGCTTCACTGCTCTGGAGGAGGGGACAACCAAAATGACTCATAACCTCCAGTCCATGACTGTAAGTGCTGAAACATTAGCTGAGAGGATTATAACCATTGAATGTGAAAATCGGACTTTATCAAAAGGGTATGATAGATTAATTGACAGGATTTCCATACAAGAAGGCACAGTACATGCCATGAGGATTATGTCCAAGGAGGAGATCGTATCTCTAACGGACAAGCTCCACGCCTTGGAATTATCAATGAAGGCGATTGTGTTCAAGGAGGAAATAGTGTCTCTGACGGACAAGCTCCATGCCTTAGAATCATTAATGAAGGCTTTGGAGCATAATACTGGACAGGAGATTCAGGACTTACAGAAGGCAATGGTGAGCAGATTTAATAAGATTGAGGAAATCATAGACTCTGATGAACAGGAGCAAAAGGTAGAAAGGCAACCTTCACCTCAAAAAACTCTCAGTCTACATAGAGTTATACCTGCCTTTCCAGTAATAACATCAGAAAAGATAACCGGCTCCAAAAACCCTAAGGTCATTAAAGAACATACATGGGAGCCTATACGTATGAATGATCTGAAAGGATTTAAACAAGCAATTGTGAATTATGGACTACATTCATCCTTTGTTAGGGAGATGTTAAAATCCTGGGCTCTGAGCAACAGGGCCACCCCTCAAGATTGGAACCAGCTCACATCAGCTGTCCTCGAGAAAGGACCTTTATGGCATTTCAAATGCCTATTCAAACAAGAGGCCAGACTTTTACAACAACAAGAATCAGCGAAAGGAACTGAGGTTTCTCTAGATCAAATTCTAGGGGAAGGACCTTACTCTGATCCTCAGGAACAAGCTCTTTATGATGAAAACATTTTATCCATATGTGCTACAGGAGCTCTAAGGGCCTGGGACAGGGTTCAAGACTCAGGTCAGAGAGTAGAATCGTATGTCAGGGTCAAACAGGGTCAGAGAGAACCCTTTAGTGACTTTTTGCAATGACTAACTAAGGCTGTACAAATAGGGATACCTGATCCAGAAGCAAGAAATACAGTAATTGAGTCTTTGGCATATGAGAATGCCAATGTAGAATGCAAAAGGATCCTGGGGCCTTTAAAGCTCAGATCAGCGCCTTTGGATGAATGGGTTTTACATACAATGAATGTTGATACATTTGATTATGGCAATGAAACATGGGTACAAGAAGCAATTTCCAAAGGTAAAAGGAGACATCAAATTACAAAATGCTTTCATTGTGGCAAAATGGGACACATGAAAAGGGACTGCAGACAATGGAATTCCAGGAATAATGCCTCTTCTAGGAATAACAGGAATAGGAGGACTCAGCCTTCAGGTTTATGTAGGAGATGTGGAAAGTGCAGGCATTGGACGAATGAGTGTAGGTCAACAAGAGATAAACAGGGCAACCCGTTGCCATCGGGAAACTCAAACCTGTTTATTTCAAAGACGTGCTGACCTCTCAATGGAGGCCAGGAGATGTGCTACGTTGGGGAAGGGGTTTTGCTCTTGTTTCCACAGGAGAAGAAAAATTGTGGATACCATCAAAATTAATAAAGGTTCGATTTGAAGAGGAGAAACCTCTTGGAAAGGAGAAATGACAGCTCATCCATAATGATGATATTCATACAGTTGGTAAGAAAAACATATAGAATGGGGGCAGGGTTCTGTTCTTATCTCCACAGGAAAACACTGATTTTTGAAAAGTTCAAGAGACCCTGGATATTTGAATACTGACAGATGGGAAATAATGGCCCAATAGGGACTATCAAGAAAACTGAATAGGTTCTGTAAGTAAAATATACTAAATCATATTTCTAAATTTATAGAGCTGGTTTTAGAGTTGGACTCTGGCTCAGTCCCTCTCTAATTCCAAGCCTGTTGTTAAAAGAAAAACCCAGAGTTTCTGGAGTTTCTGTCTCATGTCAAGATATGGGACAGAAAGGAATATGAGTTTAGAAAACATCTTTACTTTTCTTCATATCTATCATACCTTTCATTAAATATATCTATCATGTCTTTCATTGAATATATGTATGTCTGTATATGTCTATATGATTAATATATGATTATATATTATTATAATAATATAATATATGATATTAATATATGATTAATATATGATTAATATATATGATTAATGTTTAAGTTTTCCACAATGAACAATAAGTTTTTCCTGCAGTGACATTTGAAGTTTCCAGGAAGAAGATGGGGCCCCATAACAACAACTCCACCTGGTTGAGATGACATCATGATACTGATAGCGCTACTACAAGACCTGTTTTGGGTACCAGCTGCACAAGACGATTCCAACGTGGTTAGCTGAAATGATGCACATCTTGTACAACATTCTGGCCAGACCTCCACAAAATACTCAGAGACTATTTGCAATTTTAAAAGACATTGATCTTGAAATTTAACCATCATTTTACTTTCACAGGATCCCCCAGAAAGAACGTCGCCCCCATGACAGCTGGAAGTAATTCTAGAGAACGACATCCCCTCTCCCAGTAAAGTTTGTCCTTGGGTTTAGGGACATCATTTAGGGGTTGGTTATAATTAGTATAGGGTTGAGGGTTGGGGGAGGAATTTTATAAGCACAGAAATCTTTAAAAAAAAAGGGGGATAATTGGATTATGGGATAATAGCTTTGTACTTGTGAGTTATTGTTTTTAGACAAATATATTGGTATTGATTCTTATATATTGATACAAAGTTAAATTATGTTGACTATTTTATGCATGCATGCTTCTACCTCTGTTTAAAACATTTTTATATATTGACATATATATATATATATATATATTGTATTGATATATGTATATTTTACCATATTGCATTGTACACTTCTACCTCTGATCAAGTTGCTTATATATTGTTTATGTATTGATATATATATATATTTACCATATTGCAATGTATACTTGCACATTGTTTATATTTGGAGGTCACATTGTCCTCATTTATTGCACAGTTGTTTATTATCTCAGTCTTTAAGTTAAATAGATATTGAGAATTATATAGAACAATAGTCATCTAAATTTGACATTTATAATTAGACTAATCAGGTTCTTTAGATATATAGAGATTATATTCAGTATAGATAGATAATCTCCAACCTCTTCAAAGAGCTGTAGAAAATGGCCTTTAATCTAACTCAGAGTTCTGTGGTAGTGAGACACAAATACTCCTGGCAACACTGACCTATTCCCGAGAGAATGTTGAGCACCAAAGACACTCCACCTGGAGCCTTTCTTCTTGGCAGAACTGGCCTTTGGGTAAAGAAATGCCCATGTCTCAACTACTGACAGAGTTTCAGAATATCCGTAAATGGATAAAACAGGACTGTCATATCCTGCCAAGACAGGGTAAGATAGTTTTGAAAAGTTCCTTGCCTTTGAAAATGGTATGTCAGTTACGTTAGGCCTTAGCCAAAGTTGGTTGCTTCAATGCTGCAAACGTGACTTTGGGTGTTTGCCCAGGTAGCCAGTTGTCTCTGTGATTTGTTACATGTTCTGGAAGTTTGATTGCACTTCCTAATTACTCAGGTAACATTATTTCCCTTCTCAGATCTTTGATGAGATTGAAGATTATATAAACGTAGTTACTTTCCTTTCATGACTTGGCCAAGTTATTTATTATACAAGACTTTAGCTAGTTAGAATAGGATATTTGTACTTATTGTATATAATTGTGTAGGTTTGTACTTACTGTATATAATTTCGTAGTAGGCTTAGAACTCTCTTACTTAAACAAAAGGGGGAGGTGTTGTGGGAGTATCTTCTGCTGCCTCAGCCAATAGTCGCTGAAGCAAGCCAACAGTCGCTGAAGCATGAGCCCACAGTGCAGTGGGAAGCGACTTGCGCTCTGTCAGCCAATAGCCGCTGAAATACCAGCCCACTGGGGCGTGGTATATTTCTCTTTTAAAAAGAGACACAGATCCGGATCAGGCTCTCTTGGTTCTGGCTCTTGGTCCCGGCTCCTGCTCCAGGCTCCTGCTACAGCGACTAGGCTCCCTTCCTGACAGTTTATGGTGTATGTAAGTTTTACCCCCCAAAATAAATAACCCCTTAAAACATAACTGGTGTGGGATTGATTCACCGATAATGAAGGGGCTCACGCTGTCTCAGAGAGCCACATATTCTGGTACCCTAGATGGTTTTGCTACTAGCGCAGGAGACAAAACAAGGTGGAGACACTCTGGAACGATGACTTAGCTAATGTCACCTGCCATGTGTTCTCTGGCACCTGGCAACAAGTCACGACCTCATACTGCAGTGTTGTGGTGGACTTGGCATGGTAAAGAGGTACAATTTGAGCAGTTTATAAAAGCTCAGGATGGTGACTACAGAGAGGTTCCATGACTTTGATCTACTACCTGACTTTCTTAAGAAGTGATAGTCTCAGACGATTTATAACTTTGATATAATGTTTTCTTAGTATTTTTACACCAGTGATTGCTTGCCAGCCAGAGTGACAGGAAAGAAGCTTTTGATTTTATTTTTCAGAGTTATGCTGAACAGGAAGACACAGCTGTCATTTGAACACCTTCCGTAGGGATAACAGCACTCTTCACACAGCCCGCCCTCTCCTGAGCCACACCCTTGACCCTCGGCTCTCCTGTTTTCTCTGTCTGTGCCTTGTGCTGTCATCTGGAAGAACTAGCCAGACCCGACACATGCAGGAAGCTCACCATGATGTTTTTGTGGATGAAGCCCCTCCGATACCTAGCTGGTTTAAGATGAGGATATTCTTCAGTGCTGGTGATTTTAATGTTCCAAACCTTCTTCCAGGCCTCATAAAGCTGAACATGTACAGGGTAGACTCCGGAGTGGTGAGGGGACACCGCGTAGCCCATGTCGGTAGGAATGCCGTGCTCCTAAGACCAAGCAAACTGTCGTTAGAATATGGGAAGAAGGCTGGTCCTTTTGCTCTTCCTCCTCTCTAGAGTCTCACTGCACAGCCCAACCCTGAGCTTACTGTGAACTCACAAAGATCCTCCTGTCTCAGCTTCTCAAGTGCTAGGATTACAGGCATGCACTGGCACGCTCTGGCTTTGAAGATTTGTCTTGATTATAGTTTTATTTTAGGGTTTTGAAATGTACTATAAATGCACATATTTAAATCCATCATTAGTTATCGTTTGGTGGAATTAAAAATGATCTCTATTAAAACCGTTAAAATTCTTAATGTTGGATAGCCATCAGCCAACCTTCTTATTGTGTTGCAGGTGGTAGGGTGGGCAAAATATTGCATTCCACTTTTAACACACTCTTGGACACCTGTTCTTTCCACTGATCAAATTTGAAAACATTAAATAACAAGCACCTTATATTCAGCCTACTCCACCGGCCACAAAGAATGATGAACCTTCCAAGTTTAATGGGTCCAGCCAAAGAATCTTATTGCATCTGCTGTACTTCTTACCAAGTTTGATACATTTCTATTGGGGCTTCAGCATGTACAACAGTAACACAACTAAATCTCAGTAGAAGCATGTAGGTTTGATTGTAAACTATAGAATTATTATTATTATTATTATTATTACTCATCATCATTTAAACAAATGGTACCCAAAGAGATAAAAAGTCTGGGGATTTACATGACTTTTAAATTAAACTTTCATCCATAAAAGGATACCAACTAAAAACAAACACCTTCCAAACTACACATGCACAATGCATACTGAGGAAGTTGACTAATGATGGGTCAAGGTGTTCCTCATCTATTGGTCCTGCCCAGATCCTGCCAAATCCCAGTGAATGTTAGCTTATTTGGGGGAAGATGTGGGCTAACTCAGAATCACTGTAATTGTTCTCAGCTTCAGATGGCCCATGAATCCTCATCTATCGCTCTCGACATAGAGAAGGTTTCCCAGACACAAGGTGTGAAATCAGTCTTTTAGAAGAACACCCAAGGTTTTAATATTGACGGATATTTTTTTGAATGATTTGTTTTGCTTTCTGTTTGTAGTTTTCAATTGCTTGACAACTTTCAAAGACTGCACCGAAATAATCTTTCTTTGAATTAGTCATGGTTTCCTTCACACCATAGAGCAATTTCACAGAGAGAATCATAGTATCAGGCTGTCTAACAGACTGCTTTGAAGAAGTGTGCTACAAATGGATGTGGAAGGCAAAGAGATACAGCCAGCTTTGTTTCTCAACCCAAGAAGTATCAAAAAAAGGAAAGACGCACATGTAGTATCTATCTACATGCAAAAGAGCTGGATGTTAGGCATTGCCACCTCTCAGTAGGGACTCAATATGTCCCTAATTGGTGTGGAATTCCCCCTCTGTATTCTTGATTACCATTAATGAATAAAGAAAACTGTCTTGAGCCCATGATAGGGAAGAATTTAGGTAGGTGGGGAAAACTAAACTGAATGCTGGGAGAAAGAAGGGCAGAATGAGAGAGCAGCCATGGAGTTGCTGCAGGAGACAGATTGCTGATTGGCCATGACCTTGTGGCGATGCACAGATTAATGGAGATGGGTTAAACTAAGATGTAAGAGTTAGCCAATAAGAAGCTAGAGCTAATGGGCCAAGCAGTGATTTTAATAATATGGTTTCTATGTGATTATTTTAGGGCTGAGCAGCCAGGAACTAACAAACGGCTCCTTACAATATCTAATTTCACTTCCTTTTAGGAACTTTACTCACTATTCTAAACGTCTGTGGGTCCTCTCTGGAAAGGATGCTATAGAGCTGAGAGCTACACAGTGCTGCTGAGTGACAGAGATCAGATTGCGGGCCACACAAGAGACAGACTGAAGGATGACTGGGAAGGCCTGACACCTATCCTTTTATCTTTGACCTCTGTAGACATTTCAGTGCCTATGCAAGCATTATCATATAATTGAGGACTTCACTAAAACAGAAATGAAATACTTCCTTGCCTTCCTCCCTAGTTTTAAACAATTCACACTCAGGCAATTTCTTCCACTAAGAATTGTGTAACAACATATAATTTTGTTAGAAAAGGTTGCTGAAGTATCAGTCTCAAATGGCTGAAGAACAGGGGTACAACTCAAAAGGCCAGACAAAAGAAAATGGATTTCCATCAAAAAGATTTTTTTTAAAAAAATAAGAAACAATTACATGTTAAGAACTTCTCAAAGAAATTCATGAAGAAGCAATCCACAACAGTCAGAGCTATATTACAAACTCCTAACATCCAGAGATTCACAAACAATGATGTTGACCAAGGGTCAAGGCGGCTTTTCAGTGCTTGCTAAGTACTCTTATGATTCCAAGAAACTGGATGCTTAACAAAAAGAAGATGTAACATATAAAGAACATTTCCTTCCTTTGAATTCTTGGAGAATGTTGGACCACCATGATGGTATATACAGATTCTTCTTCTTCTTATTCTCTTTTATTATTATTCTCTTTCTTTCTTTCTTGCATTCTTTCTTTTTACAAAGTTAACTCTCAATGTTCACTCTCTTACAATGTTCACTCTCTTTTATCCTGCCAACCTTCCCTGAAATTTATCAAATCCTTTCCTTCTCTGGTATCATCCTAGTCTGAATCTTCTTTTTTTTTCTTTTCCTTTTTCTGAGACAAGGTCTCTCTCTATATCATTGGCTGCCTTGAATCTCACTATGTAGACCATAAACTCATAGATCTGCCTGCCTCTGCCTTCTGGTGCTGGGACTGAAGGCAGGTGCTACTATGCCCAACTTCCGACACTCCCTTCTAGGTAAATTTGTATAATAGACTTGTCTACAAGAAATATTGGTACAACAGTGGCACAAATGTTATGAGATAAATCAACCATTTCGTAATTATATTTAAGGTCCATTCCATAAGGTTGAACCCATTCACAATATTGCTAAAATAGCCATGAATTTGAGACTAGACAAATTATGGACCTGGGGGGAAAACCTACTAGTATTATTCTGTCAAAGAAACTTAGTAGAATAATAGTAGTAGGTCGGTGGTACATGCCTTTAATCCAAGCAGAGACAGGTGGATCTCTGGTCTACAGAGCGAGTTCCAGGACAGACATAGACAACCAAGGCTATACAGAGAAACCCTGTCTTGAAAGACCAAAAAGAAAGAAAGAAAAAACTTAGCAATAAGATGACTCTTAATGACTAGCCTTTGTTTTTCAAGGTGATACAGAATCATTTTGTAATTGTTTCTTTGTGCCTCTTCTACACTAAGCAATGACTCTGTGAAGTCTAATTTCTGTTGTATTCACCACTGCGGGCTCATTGTCTTACTAACTGCACACAAGAGATGCACATCTGTGCACAAGTGCGGATGCGATGCTGACACTAACCACCCTCTTCTCTTTGGAATTTTTTACTTTCTCAATTGTCTCAGCAAAATAGTCAGTTTATTTGAAGTTTAGACATATGGTAACTCACTGAGGAATTTTAATAGCTGCACAAATAATACTTGCAAACAGATTTGAAACTGTAGTTGAGATTATTTTATGAGTCAAAATTTAAATATGTAATTTCAAAATAATAAAGTTTTATGATATAAAATGTGACATTATAAAATTTTTCTTATGTTATCATTCAAGATTTTCCAAACAGATAATACAAAGATAACTTCAAAGGCAAGTCCTTAGGAAATTCCCCTCAAAGACTAAAGAAGAAAAGAAAAAAAAATCAGTATTTAAGTATTCAGACAACACAACCACTTCATTGCCAAAGTACTAACTCCGACAGCACTTACTTATTTAAACTCTTGCTGGTAATTAAGAATAGTGTTTTACTTTTAGCGTTTATCTCAATTTCAATCTTTCTGAACAGAAGAAACTTAACATTTCCCATCCAAGGCTAGATAGGCCACTGCTTTTTCCCCACACCAGATATAAGCAAGTCTGCAGGCCATTGTCATTTCTACACCCACCGTGGCAGTCTACAATCTGTTAGCTATCCTGTCGTCTCCAGAGAAAACAGCCGGAAACTGCAGCGACGCACTTTGGAATCCTTCTAGATGCGTTTCGGCTCTCTCTTTCGGTTAGTATGCCCCATTTTTTCAGAATATAGAAGTTCATGCTTTGGTTAACTACCTCACAACACTGAGATTCAAATTTGCAATTTGCATGAATGTTAGATAAAGTCTCCTATTTACACTTGACATTGTAGTGCTGTTTCTAGGAAAAAAATGGGCTCATTTTCTTTGATTTTTTAAAAATGGTTTCCTTTTAGGACTGTGGCTGTTGGAGATACTATTTCACAGAGTACACAGAGCATATTTGGATAATAAGATTAGAATTAAGGTTTGAGTATATTCTATATATATGGGACATTTAAAAGACAGTTGTTTTCCTAAGGTAAAACTGAAAGCCCAAACACACATCTCAGGTCCATAGCAGCAGGGATGACTGAGGGTAAGTGTATAACGGCAGTGATGTGGTCAGAATGGACCAATGTACATGAAGACTGTTCAAAGGGAACTGAACAAATCACAGTATAAACTAGGGAACTCAGGATCCAGTTGGAGAGTTAGGGTTTGGTCAGTGTTCCAAGGCTCTTAAATACTGGGATCCTTTCTATAATTAATGATGGTATTTTTGATATGGTTTAAAATTAAAATTCTTGGAAGATGATTAACAAAGAACCCTTATTTTTTTCACAACCAAATGTGAAATAAACGAGTTGGACAAACAATCACTAAGTTTCAGATTAAAAACATCATTTCCAAAAGGACACCATAATGCTCGCCCACCATCGGAACACTCTAAAGACTCATGAGGAGGACTGTAAGTTCAAGATCAACCTGTTTTAAAAAGCTTCATTAAATGAAATATTATATTGCTTTCACTTTATCTTTGTGGTTTTATAAATGATTTTTATGTTCAGATGCTGGAAATAAACGCATTATTTTTAATTTATGGCTTAATCTTATACAAGCC